AAAAAATAATTAAATAAACAAATTAAAGAGATTAAGATAAAGATAAACTTATTGTGAAAGCAACCTCAGACTTCAGCTTCGCCTCAAATTCCTCGGATCATCGAAACAAATTTTTACTTCAAGATTCACATAAGCTTACAAGAACAATTTTTCGCTGCCAACTCAGATTGTGTCGTTTCAACAACAACTGATTCCGATCTCAGTTTCCTCTTAGCAAACAATTTTGCTAAGTGTGTTCTCGAGAAGTTGAATATGCTTCAATAAGCAAATCCTTCTTCAAACATTAACCATAACAATATCCGGACCAATGTCGAAATAGTTTTGATTTGAAAAGTAAGCTTCAGAAAACAGAGAGAAAATCAAAATCGATTTAAGTACCTTACAATTCTCACGTTTGGAATTGAGCCTTCGCTTTAGTCTTCCGCTTGAAAGAAAATTAGCTGAGCATAACCAAAGTCATACTTAGCATAATAGAAAAGTATGCGAAAAATAGAGAGAAAGGTAGAGAGAAAAAGAAGATTTTATTCTCAAATGAGAGAGATATGTTTCTAGGCTCACCCTTAGAGGGTATTTATAGCCTTCAAAATCTAAAAACAAGCTAAAACATCTTAAATCCTAATTAAAACACTTAAAACTATTTAAACTAAAATACTTTAAAAATAATATAATATTATAAATCCTAATTAAAATACTAAAACCTATTTAAACTAAAATACAAAGATAAAGATAAAATATAAAAATAATATCCTAAAACTTAATTAAAATACTAAAAACCTATTTAAACTAAAATACAAAGATAAAATATAATGTTTAAAATATTATCCTAAATTTGAGTTTAATCCAAATTCGAATTTCAGCCAGCTTTGATTATGAAAATAAAAAAATATGCAGAATTGTGTCCTTTTTGTGCAATTTCCATAATCTTACGTCCTGTACAGAAAATGAATTAAAATGAACAAATAAGCCACAAAAATCAATGATTAAAAAGTAATTTAAAAGTAAAATATTAACTAAATTAAGCACATATAAAAAATTCCTGCACGAGCTAACTCAGCTGTCCAGTTCCTATATTCACCACCCCAATCACTTTGTATAGCCTTGATTGACAGTGAGAATTGAGTCTCAACCATGCTCTTGAATAGACTAAAGGCAGTTATAGCTTGTTACTTATTCTTCAACAAGTAAACCCACGTATGTCTGGTACACACATCTACAAAAGAGATGTAATATCGAAAACCAGCTGAGGGCTCAGGCGAGGGCCCCCAAAGATCTATGAAAACGAGTTGAAATGGTTCATCATACACCGTGGTTGAGTCAACAAATGGCAATTTATGGCTTTTACCCAAACAAAAAGCAACACACAGTGATTCGTATTACTTGGAATATCAATCGCAATGGAATTACAAACCAATTTCAAAGTGGAAAATGCTGGATGACCTAATCTTCTATGCCAAAGCTCAAACAAGTTACAATGGTTATGAACTGCATAAGCCTTAGCATTATTACAAACATTCAACTGACTATCCAAGGTAAATGTGTAAAGTCCCCCATTCTGCCTTCCTCGAAGAAGAACATTGCCTGTAGCTTCATCTCGAACACAATAAGTATCAGCATGGAATTCGAAGAAGATGTGATTATCCCTAGCAAGCTTTGACACGGAGAGAAGGTGTTTAGTGATATTAGGGACATGAAGCAGATCGGTAAGTAATAAAGTTTGTGAAGAAGACCTTAAAACAGATTGTCCTACTGATTGAACATTAAGAGAGGAACCATTTCCAACCACGAGATTACCTGGTCCATCAAGATCAGTAGGGTAAGTAATGTGAGCAACATCAGGTGTGACATGATGCGCCGCCCCTGAGTCCACGATCCACTGAGCTCAAGACGATTTCACACTTACAGAAGCAGCCGTGCATGACCCCTACCACTAGCTCAACCACCACGCATTGTTGAGGGCTGCTGTTTGAATTCATTAGCGATGTAAGAACCAGTAGATCCACCATGGATTTGTCCGTGAGTGATATTAGCACTCATAGGGAGACTCTCAGCTTGCGAATCGAAACCAGCTAATTGTGTCTCTGCATCAATTAGCATAGAAGAGACACGATCGAGTGACAGTGTGTCAGGACTCGATGTTATGACAGCCATAAATGACTGGTATTCTCTTGGCAAACCTTTCAGAATACTAACCACGTGCTCCACCTGTGAAACCTGGCTGCCACATGATGTGAGAGCATCACAAACTTCTTTGATTCGAGTGAGGTACACTCGTATAGAATCATCACCCTTCCTCAGTGATTGCAACTTATAATGCAAGTTCATCTTTGTAGTTGTGGATTTGTTAGCAAAGAATTGAACAATTGTGCTCCATACAGCTGCAACAGTCTCGACGCCAACGAATTGTGGCAGGAGGGGAGCACTAATCGTTGATAAAAGCCAGGACGCGAGAGCACTATCCTGTGCCATGTAATCTTCAAATGCCTCGTTAACAACCGACGTACCTTCAGCATTGACAATAAACTCAGGTGGAATCGACATCGAGCCATTGAGGAGCCGCTCCAAACGATGACTGCGCACCGTAAACAGAACCTGCTGCCTCCACAGCAGGTAATTTGTCTCGTCTAGCACCACATTAACCTTTTTATTGGTAAACATGATGCTCAACAACAATTAAGAGACTAAGCAACAAGAAGCATAGGAACCCCAGAACCTTTAGAGAAAGATACCATGTTGAGAATTTAGTATATACTCAGAAAACGATTACTGCCATTTTTCGTTTTTTTCAGTGCAAGTATACATGACTTATATAGCATTTGATTGCTGAGCTAAGAAGTAATCTGCTTAACAAAAAATATAACCGTATAACAGCACTCTAACATCCTATAGATTTGATTTCCTGTAACACAGTGTACGCTACTAACTATGAGCTTAATTAAAGCTTCTTGAATCTTCTCCATGCATGCCATCTTAAGTCTGCACTCGATCATTCTTCCAACACTGTCAAATTCTGATTAATTCAATGTTTCTAATTTCGTTACGATGATTAATTTGGACAAATAGAAGAGGAGACGAACCGACTATTTATACCGACGAGGAAGAACATCGAGGATTCGTTGCAAGGCTGGTGAAGGACTGCCAACCGGGTGATTCATTGGTGTTGTTCTACTCCGGACATGGGTTACGGGTGCCTGATTTTAACTATGACGAGGCCGATGGATTCGACGAAACTATATGTCCCCTTGATTTCAAAGAAGCGGGCATGATCAAGGATAATGACCTTAATTCCCTCATCGTTCGGCCGCTCACTCGTGTCGTTACTCTTCATGCCATCGTTGATGCTTGTCATAGTGGAACCATTCTAGATCTTCCCAAAGTTTACAAAAGTAGAGAGTAAGCTTATAGATGGCGGAGTCAGAAAATTTAAATTCGGGTGTTATTATTATTTACAGGAGAAAATGGGAAGACAACAATTGTCCGTCGGGTGTGTATAAAGGTACAAATGGTGGATTAGCCATCTCTATCAGTGCTTGTCTAGATAATCAAGCCGCTGCTGATACCTCTGTAAGCCATAATATTTTCAAACTAATTATCCTTGAACGAAGTATACGACTATTAATTATCCTTCGGGTGCTACAGGCCTTCACGGCTGGGAAGATGAACGGTGCCCTGACCTACGTATTGGCGGAGATTCTGAAGAAATTGCCCGGTCCGACATACGGAGACTTGTTTCAATCTAATTCGTGAAACCATTGACAACGTCAATCAATCTGGATGCTTTGCTAATACAAGAATCTTGAGGAGACTCTTCGATTCCAGTTTCTCTCAGGTTTGTTCATGTTTAATTGATTTCATTCCACTGAATACTTAGATTCTAATCCAATATGGGGAACGCAGACAGCGCTTCTCTCGTCCTCAGCTGAGTTTGACGTTTACAGAAAGCATTTATTTTTGTGGCCCATATTATATATTGCCGCCTCACTCAGAGCTGCGTTCAACGGATATCCATCAATCAATGGAAACGTTGAAGAATAATAAAAGGCTGGATCATCGTCTTTTACTCATTGTGTGCCTAATATATTTTTGTTTTTTTTTCATTTGGATTTTTCTGTATAATAAGCAATGTACATTGCTTTCAACTATTTTCTATTGTATTCATCTTCTATCACTTTCTCAATTTAAATGCTTCCAAAACCTATTTAAAATTTATGAAATTAATAAAAATATATATTATCTTTTGGGTTTGTGGTTTGAAATTTTTGTTCAAATATTCGAACGATGAGAAACATTATTTCGAAAAGATAAATAACATATCTAAAATCTAATCTCATTGGATGACTATTAGAGGAGATCAAAATAACTTTTATATGGATTTTTATCGAGTTTCAGCGAGTTTCGTGAAAAATCAATCCAAATACAAGAAAGATAAATGAAAGACAAACGTTTTGATATGATTTTATTAATTAGAAGAAAACGAATGAAACCACAATCGAGAACAATAAAAAAATTAACACTAGAAATGGGCATATTTAATGACAAAAACATACCCAATGTTAAAGCAATTTTGGCGGATCGAATGCTCAATTCATCATATATATACACACACAAATTTGAGTCCAAGAAGCTTGAAGCTGATAAAGAATATAGCTACAAATTTGAATTGACTAGCAATCTTAGCAAAAATCCTATCTCAAATATATTTGTTCTACCGAAGAGAAAAGGTAAAAGATGAAACTGAATCTGGTTCTCCACTAATGTAATGATATAATTCATGGACTCCAACTAGGCATTTACAAACCTAAATTTGACACTTTCAACATCTTACAAGTCGGCTGCCATGGAAATGGGAAGAAGCAAAGCTTTCTCTCGATGCAGGCAAATATTTATGGCGAAATCAAGGGCCCATGGTGCTGATGTTGAATGTCCTTCATGCAGAAACAACAATTTTCTGGTTCCGACCGTGGAACAAACGAGCTTGCACCAAGTCTGCGCAGCCGGATCCGAAGCCTCTCTAGTGAAATATGAAGTAAGATGCATCAACGTATGATGGTAACTCCTTCCTTAAATCTCCAGCCGTCCGGGTCGACGATGAGATGGAACAAGCGTGCGGTGCTTTGCGGAATCACTTACAACAATTTGAAGGAGTTAAGGCTAAAAGGATCTATTAACGACGTGAAGAACATGAAAGAGTTGTTGATTACTAAATTCGGGTACCCTAGTGACTGCATCCGTGTTCTCACCGGTATGAATATGTTGTTACAATATGGATATTTAATGTTTTGTATAATTCTATTGTGATTATTATTCGAGTTACAGAAGACGAATTGGACCCAAGATTTATACCTACGAGGAAGAACATCGAGGATTGGTTGCAATGGCTGATGAAAGACTGCCGGCCGGGAGATTCGTTGGTGTTTTACTTCTCCGGTCACGGCTCACGAGTACGTGATTATAACGATGATGAAGTGGACGGGTTCGACAAAACCATATGTCCCCTTGATTTTGAAGAAGCGGACGTGATGGTGGATAATGATCTTAATTCCCTAATCGTTCGTCCGCTCACTCGTGGCGTTACACTCCATGCCATCGTCGATGCTTGTCATAGTGGAACCATTTTAGATCTCACCAAAGTTTACAACAGCCTAGAGTAAGCATTTTTTCAATTGAATTCGAAAATAATTATTCTGTTGTCATTTATTTCATCAACAATTTCTTGTTTTTTTACAGGAGAAAATGGGAAGACAACAGTCCTCCCTCGGGGGCGTATAAAGTTACAAATGGTGGATTAGTGATTTGCATCAGTGCTTGTGTCGATAATCAAGCCGCTGCTGATACCTAATTTTTGTTTTAATATCACTATACAATCACACTCTGATCAAATACACACCGCCGCAGGCCTTCACACCTGGGACCAAGAACGGTGCTTTGACCTACGTGTTGGTCGAGATTCTCAAGAAATTACCAGGCCTCACATACGGAGACATGTTCGATTTAATTCATGAAACCCTCAACAACGTTAATCAATCTCGACCCCGTTCTATTACAGGAATCTTAAAAAATCTCGTCGGTAACAAATTTCATTTGTCACAGGTAAACTTTTATTCGTCTCCTTCGAATTAACATTCAATTTACCCACGTTTCTTATTTACTAATACGCATTGCATGGCTACGTAGACACCGATTCTCTCGTCTTCGGTTGAGTTCGACGTTTACAGAAAGCACTTGGTTTTGTAAGCAGATTTTGGATTTTCTGTATAATAAACAATATTGTACCATGCTTCCAAAGAAATAATGAATGCTTTAATGTTTCTTGTTGGTTTGCAACAATACATCATTCATCTCATCCCTGTAATTTGTACCCTATCATTTAGAGGTTTAGAATGGTTCTATAATAACTATCAACATCCTTCTTAGATGTCGATGGCTTTAGTAAAGTCATCCCATCATGTGTTTGAAAAATGGAAAGTTAGAGTTAATTATCCACAATTTTAGAATAAAATATATCGAGAATAAATTGAATAGAAAAATAGACAATAATTAAATTGAAAAAATAAAAAAATAAACAATAATTAAATTAAATTAAATAGACATCATATTCGTGATAAAATGAATTTGACGAAAAAATTTAGGAGTCATCAATTGCTGTCGACAACGGCCGGTGATAGCCGACTCAATGACCAAAATCTGGACAGTTTAAGAGAAAATGAGAGGAAGAAAAAAGAGAGATGGGTTTTATAGGATATAAAGATGTTATTTTTGGTGTAGATTTGGATTTTCTAAAACAATATCGTTTTGGTATTATTTATCATGTCAAAATGTAAACTTTAATAACCAAAAAAATTCGAGTAAAATTTGTAATTCGGCATATCCGCAATAGTGATAGATATTTGTGATTATTAAAAACATTTCCATGAGCACCATCCACAAACTTTTCATGTCATTTCCCCTGCAACACTGCAGGTAGCCAATCCTTATATTCACTTACAAGTGGCCATATCTTGAAAATTACTCTCTTTAAACATCTCTTGTTAAGAACCAAATTCCCAAGGAAGATTCCACTTCTCTGGTCAAAGACACCTGGAATTTAAGCTCAAGAAGAATCATTTATTATATTTTGTTTTAGTAAAAGAATACACGAATGCCGTGTTATTAGTATTCTTTTTGTATTTAACAGTATGATTCGCCCTTATTCACAAAAGCATTCTCTTTATGTTGAAAAACAACACTACCTGATCGAATCTCATATATTTCAGTCTAAGAAGCTTATCGTAATTAAATAAATTAATGGATATGAAATCCGAGTTGATATTAAATTTTGAGTTCGATTCGAATTGATTTGACTAAAAATCATAACAGACCACGACGAATGATTCTTATCTACACCATCAAAGATTTTTGTTCCACCAAAGAAAGAAAAGAGGAAACTGAATATGGTTCTCCACTAAATCTGTTTACAGGGATCGAATACGATGAGACTGGTAATTCTACCTTACACCCTTTAAAGCCTGGAAAATCTTCATTTTACTAGACACACACAAAACCACCCAATTCAACAATATATCCCACAAAAACAGCTCCAACATAAAGATGGACAGAAGACAACAGTGCAGCGGATGTCTGCAGTACCTGTTGGTTCCGCCAGAGGTACAAACCATTTGTTGTGCCTCCTGCGGAACCATTGCCAATAGCACCGACACGAGTAATGCTCAAGCTCGTTGGGGTAAAACCCGTGACTTGTTGGTACCAGGACAAACCAGGTTATTTTAGAGTACTTGGCTTTTTATAAGTTTTTGTTACGTTGTTGTTCGGTATATGTTTTTAACAGTGGCTGCTATTTGGTTACAGAAGCTATCCAGGGTCTGGGACGCATGCATTTCCCTCTGTATACGGTCCTCATCAGCGACAGCTGCTGCCACGGCCTGCCTTATCGCCAGTTTCGGTGCATGGAAGGAAAAGAGCACTGATTTGCGGCTTGAATTACATTGGCAAATATTATAGTCTTAAAGGAAGCATCAATGATGCCAAGTGTATGAGGTTTCTTCTTGTGGAGAAATTGGGGTTTCCTTTGGACTCCGTTCTCATGCTCACAGGTGATGTAATTTGATATGGGCTTATGGCAAACAATAAGAAAGATAACTTGGAAGGCAAGGAAACAATCTGTTTATGCTAACTTTAGTTCAATCAATCTGCAGATGATCAGCAAGACCCTTTGTTGAAGCCGACGAAAAGGAACATGCGGAAAGGCATGAGATGGCTGGTCTACGGATGTCAGCCAGGGGACTCGTTGCTGTTTTACTTCTCAGGCCATGGCGCTCAGCAAGAAGATTATAACTTCGATGAGCTCGATGGATATGATGAAGCCTTATTACCTATTGATCACGAGACTGAAGGAGGAATAATCGATGATGAAATCAATGAGACCATCGTTAGGCCACTGCCTCGAGGAGCCAAGCTGCATGCCATCATCGATGCCTGCCACAGCGGAACCGTTCTTGATCTGCCATTCGATTGCAAGATGAACAAGTCAGCCATTTGTAAAAATTTCTTTTGCTCCACAGCTGTTAATCAATTCAATGAATCATTAACTCTCTTTTGTAAAACTTATGCAGGGAAGGGTATTATATATGGGAAGATAAAAGAAACCCCAAGTTTAACAAAGGTACAAGTGGAGGAGTAGCCTTCTGTTTTAGTGCATGTGACGATGATCAAAAAGCTTCAGATACCAACGTGAGTATCAATGATCTGATTAGATATAATCATACAACAGAAATCAATGCAAGCATTAGCTTAGTTTTCGGGTATCTGTCGTTTTGAATCGGTTTCTTTGTAGGTTTTCACCGGAACAAAAACCAACACCGGTGCCATGACGTTCAGCTTCATCCAGGCCGTGGAAAACGAACCTGATTTGACGTACGGCCGGTTGCTTATTGCAATCCGCAACGCAATCCGTCAAGTTAAAGCTTGTTTACGCAAAACTGGTACCATAAAAATTCTGGTTAACAAAGTTTTGCAGAAATCATCAATCCAGGTATTCTTTTAATTTGATAAACGCTATCATTTTATTTATTTATAAAACTAAAGTGTGTTCTTGTTTGAAAATATTTCTTGATTTGCAGGAGCCACAGCTATCTTCATCGTACCCATTTGACATTTACTCAAAGCGGTTTCTGCTGTAGTAATTCCCCTTCTTACACAGCTATCTGGTTATGTAATAATAGTTTGTATATTATCTCATGTTTGTATGTTTTCTCATGTATCATATAGATTCCACAAGTCTGTAAAGTCTAATATTACTGTAAATGTCTCACGACTACATGAACTTGCTCTAGCATTATACAAGATGATTTTTTTCTGGTTCACATCTTCAATGGAGGAGCAAGAGATTACGAGAATCGGTACACCAGCGAAAATACGAGGCATAAAGGTTAGGCCAGTCGGAGGACGGGCAGTTGGCGAAGTGGTGGAGCCACAGGGAGAGTACCTGCTCTTTCTCCTCAGTTCTAGCGTTTCTACGGTCTCTTCCAAGTCCTTCTCTAGCTCGGCTCTTTTACTCATGCCGAGCAAAGGCACATCGGTGCCATTGCTAGCCCTGCAAAGCAATGGCAACCACGACGTCAGCATCTTCATCTTGGTTTGCCTATGGCTCTCTTCGTTGCCTTCTCCGGTCTCTTGCGCTGCCAGCTCCATTTCCCTTGCTTGTTTGAATAAAAATGCTGCACATTTGAATAATTACACAAAAGGAAACTAAGAGAATCAATCTAATATTACCAGAAATTTGAACACATTCAGATAAATACATTTATCAGAAGTAATCACAAACTTTAGTTTTATAAATAAATAAAATGAAGTATTTTAGAAATTCTTTTTCTAATATATAATAGTTTCTACTTTACAAATTAAGTTTAAAAATAAATGAAGTATTTTAGAAATTCTTTTTCATCTAAACATCTATATTAGAATATTTCTCGAAGTGATACATCTTTCTATTATTTCAATAAAAAAATATATATTTAAAAGAAGCGTCTTCTTCTTGATATAATAAAAGTCCATTAAATTAGACTAATTTTTTTTAAAAAGAAATAAACATATGTGATACGTATAAAAATATATAATTACACGAAATCAATCTAAAAGACAAAGATGGCATACGTATATCAGCCTCTCACATGAAAAGTTCAATGAATCTTTGCTATTTATGGTAGCAAAAACTTTGGAAAACTCGCCTCTCACATGACATGTCATGTAATTGAAACTAAGATCTAATTTTAGATAAATTACTACTTTATGATTTGTTTATTACAGTATTAATTTCCAGAAAATCAATCTAAACTTTTAAAAAATATCACATAGCGGCATTATTTAATACTCGTTGGTCAATTATAAGCTTATTTGGTTGGTGTTAGGGGTGTAAACGAGCCGAGTCAAGCTCGAGTATTGCTGAGCTCGACTCGAACTCGAAAACTTTAAATGCAGGTTCGACTCGACTCGAAAACTCGCGAGCTCAAAATTATGAAGCTCAGCTCGAACTAGAAATATATTATTGAAACTCGACTCGAACTCGAAAAAGCTCGAACTCAAAAAAATTTCAAGAGCTCGAGACTCGAGCTCGATTCAAGCTCGAACTCGATTCAAGCTCAAACTCAATTCAAGCTCGAATTTAAACCTACAAAAATCTTATATTACATATCAAATATATAAATAATTTTCCCTTTAATCAACCATCAACAATACTTTTTTTTGCTGATAGTATGAACTCATTTCAGAAACTTTATAGGATGCATACAAGAGTAGTTATGGACTTGTGGTTGTAGAACATGTTCTAAACACATAAGATCAAGCATGCGCCCACACTAGGCACCCATTTATAATCCTCCCCAAAGCAAAACAACTTTTGCCATAAAAGTAGTGTTTCAAAACTCAAAATACAAAGGCAAATCTTCCATAGAGAACACGAAATCCAACAACAAAATATTTCAATCTACATGTTCATGTACCACAAAATCTAAATCCCTAGTGATGCTTTTCAATTTTTCTGACGTGGGATTTGGAGCATTTGGGGCTTTGACCTTCATGCCTGCTTCATCAAGTAGTTGAGTTTGAATCTCTAATTCTGTTGGTATCACCAATACATTATAATATGAATGTATGAACTACATGTCCAAATTCACCAAAAAAAAAACAGTAACATACCCAAACTTCCATAACACCTATCAAAAAGAGTAAAAGACAATAAATAATAATAAATTATTCTATAAAAAAGCATGAAATCATTATAAATATGGAGTAAAAAATACAAGATTAACAAATTCAAATATTAAACCTTTTAACTTGTCACATTATCGATTCTTTTGAAGGTACTGATATAATAATTTCTTTCAGTTGTTTGTCATCATTCTGCAATAATTTAAAACCTCAAATAAGCCCACATATATTTAAAAAGTAAACAAACTTTGTTATAAGAAAATACATTTACCTTATTTTTTTTTCACTCCATAAAGGGATCTACACCAATCACCTGCACACATCAACATTTGAACTGTTTCTGGAGTAAGGGAAGACATGAAAATTAAATCATAGCATCTATAAATAGCCAATACCCAGATTTAATACACATTCAAAAACATTTTAGAGCTAAGTAACATCATAGTTGAGTACTAAAAACATTCACACTTCCAACAAAATCCGAGAAATGAAAAGGAAAACAAGATTTAAGATTAAAAAGAAGAAAAAACAAGTATAAGTATCTAAAACCAAGCGGATCTTAATGAAAACGAAATGGAAAGGGGCAAACCTGAGGAACCGAGAAAGACGACAGCAATAGAAAGAAAAGGAGACGAGGAAAGCAAACCTGAGGAACCCAGATTTAATACACATTCAAAAACATTTTAGAGCTAAGTAACAACATAATTGAGTACTAAAAACATTCACACTTCAATCAAAATCCGAGAAATGAAAAGGAAAGCAAGATTTAAGATTAAAAAGAAGAATAAACGAGTAAGTATCTAAAACCAGAGGGATCTTAATGAAAACGAAATGGAAAAGGGCAAACCTGAGGAACCAAGAAAGGCGACAGTAATAGAAAGAAAAGGAGATGAGGAAAGCAAACCTGAGGAACCAAGATTTAATACACATTCAAAATCATTTTAGAGCTAAGTAACAACATAGTTGAGTACTAAAAACATTCACACTTCCAACAAAATTCGAGAAATGAAAAGCAAGATTTAAGATTAAAAAGAAGAATAAACGAGTATAAGTATCTAAAACCAGACGGATCTTAATGAAAACGAAAGGGAAAAGGGCAAACCTGAGGAACCAAGAAAGGTGGCAGCAATAGAAAGTAAAGGAGACGAGGAATTCAAGGGTCGGGGAGGAAATGAGGAATTTATAGTCGAGGATGTCAACTAGGGTTTTGCTTAATTAACCTAAATTGACATCCTAGTGCTTAATTAACCAATTAAATAGAATTATTACATATTTTTTAACAACCCTATGTATATATATACCAACATCCAAACACTTAATCGTTCAATCAATTTCATTTAAAATTTCAAAAAAAATTTGGTAAAACTAGTAATTTTGTATTTAATTTATTATTAATATAATTAATATATCACATTTTATTCGTTATGATCACTTCATTGTTAAGTATCTAATGTCATTATTAAAATGTTGCATTTCAAGATTTTTTATTTTTTATTTTTTAAATTTTAATATTCTTTTTTCTATAATCGATATTATTTTTCAATGTTGTTCAAAGCCTAAACTTTAAACCTTATCACATAATTAGAAGGAATGAGATGATTTAGTGAATGGAGAGAGAGTAAATATTTTTCTTTTGCTTTCTAAAGAACAAAAATTTAATAAGAAGCTTCCGTCTTTTTTATTTTTGTTTCCTCTTCTCTTCTCAGTCTTCTCTTTATTTACTGCTTTGATTTTCCAACTCTGCAATTAGTACTTTCTTTTTTTTAGAGTACAATCTAGTAATGCATATATATCTGTCTTGTTTTATTTTATATAATACAAGTTAGTAGTAGGGATGACCATTTTCTCTCAAATATAATTTGATGTCATTAATTTTGTTAATTAAGATATTAATGTAAATCTAAATAAATTTTTTCTTTCTTAATTCTTTATAAAATCATTTACACTCTATTTCGATATATATTTTTAAATTATTAATATTTAAATTGAATCATATTTTTATTTTATTATATTTATAATTTTATAGAATTTTTAATATATTTTTAAAATTTTATAATTATCAATAATTTATTTTTAATATATTTTTAATAATGTAATTTTAAAAAATCTAAAATTATAATATAATATTTTTTCGAGCTGCTCACGAGCTTTTCGAGTAGTTCATTTCGACACGTTAAGAACTCAAGTCAAGTTCATTCGATCCGAGTATTTATCGAGTCTTGATCGAGTCGATCTCAAGTAGCTCGCGATCTGTCTCGTCTCATTTACAACACTAGTTGGTGCTTTCATTTTCATATTTTTATTTATTTACTTACATAGTGTTTGGTAGGAAGGAAAGCGAAGGAAAAGTGAGGATCGACTTTTACTCGCAAATAAAATTAAAAATTTCAATGCCCCCATGCAGGATCGAACTACAGACCTTCAGTTTACAAGACTGACGCTCTACCACTGAGCTATAGGGGCTTGGCTGTAATACCACTTTTAATATAATAATTCGAACAAAAATAATATACCATACATCGATGTAAATAAATATCAACCGTGAATTATTAGCTTCTTTACTTTATTTTCTACCAAATGATATTGAAATCTAAAACAACTTTCAGCGTTATGCACTTTTAATGAGAGTGGCAGTCGGTGTTTACCCATTGATCCGGATCATATGTGATCAAGGAACAGTTCTTCATTGCATTTTCGGTTTTGCCTTTAACCCTTGAAACGGACTACAATACAGGATATATCATCTTTACTGTCTCGATTCAATGCCTCGGCCATTAGCTGTTTAGCTGCTCGCAGCGGATCCTTGGTCTTTTTGGCAATATCGACGGCTTCTTGATTGGACATGACCTGGATTAAGCTTCATACAAGAAATGAGTGAATAAAATAAACCACAGACTAGAAATTGTTGGTTCCGAACACACACAGATAGACACACAGAGAGAGAGAGAGAGATCACCTTCCATAGCCCATCACTTGCAAGGATGAGAAGTTCGGTACCCGAGTCAATATCAACAGTTTTCATGTCAGGATCGGATCGGAGATGTGATTTAAGATTCTTGTCTCCAAAAGCACGAGAAACAGCAAGTTGTCCGTTGACTCTTGCAACGTCCCCTGGGAAAGAATGCAACAAGATAAATTAACAATCGATAAACGTACCAGTAAGTCATTATCATATAAAATTTTAGTGCCGATAATTTGCATTCCAAGGCAATAACTAAACTGATGTCATGAGAATCAGAAATGTCTCCTACTCTCCATATAATTTGCATATGCATGGAAAGCCATAAAAGATGGTAAACTTATTTACTTTCGCTAGGTAATATTAACTTTCCTAAAAGAGAAAAATCAAACATAAGCACGGGAGAGTTGTGAAATAACCTGGCATGTTTGAGACAAAGCCACCTCTGTTCTCAATGCTTCCACGCTCTGTGTTCGGCTCATGATCAACACTCATCTGTATTGCCTGCCCTTTCTTTGAGAGAACAGCACGTGAATCTCCAATATTGGCAACCCATAATTTATGCCCATCTATCAAAATTGCACTGACAGCAGTGGAACCACCGCAACCCAAGTCGGGATCGTGTGAGAGAATTGCTTGGTCTGTCTTCTCATAAGCTTTAGAGATGGACCTGCCGGGATCAGTCCAAAACTCCTCCTGCAAGTTATCATGTAACACAAGGGCATAGTTACAACCAATAAACACAGCTCAAAAGTTGGGGGCTACACCAATAAGAATCACAGAACCATCATTTCAGTTTATCAACCTCCGATTGGTATTGCATAAGGCAAGTTGGGGTCATAATAAAAAAAGACGCTCTTTTCAAGTGCAACATTTAACTGACGGGAATAATTCTCTTTTGACTGTGGTATCCAAAGCCCCTAAGTCCCGACAAATTATTTGGATTAATCGAGAACTCACATCCTTCAAGATATTGGAAAACAAATGCTTTTGCAGATAGGATGGTACACTATCTCCCAAATGGCCATCATATATAGCAAAAAGTCCAAGTTCATGTCCCCGGAGCTGAGAAAACTTTGCAACATGATAATCCTCCATGGGATGATTTGCTTTTCCTTTTGCTAGGGTGAAGCCATACTTGACAGGACCCTGATGGCTTCTACCCTTTCCAGAGCTACATGAAGAACGCCCTCCAACAACCTAAATGATAAAAAAAAATCTTTTACGAATTTCCATACTTAATGGAGTTAGAAAAGAATCTTGAAAAGAATCAGAAACATGATTTGACAGAGGAAATGCAATAAAGAAATAGTGAAGCAGGTCCATGGTAAAGAAAGGCAAAAACGATAACACTTTATGTAATAAGGTTAAGGAAATGAAATCCACCAACGTTATCAATTATTTCAGACACTGCAAATCTAGTTGCAGCCAAAAACAATTTGAAAGATATCAAAGAGAAGAAAAAACTGCAACCAAGTTATCGTCCTTCTAATGCCAGCAAACCATATAAGTGAAAATTTCCACAAGAACCTGTTCTCATGAGACCGACATCAAATTCACGACCGAATCAGATATTAAACCTTTCAACTGATTCCAGAGAACCATGAACCAGTGGAACCAGGAAGATGCAACAGTATTTGCCGAATACAAGTACAAAGCTAGTGATAAAAGGAATACAAATGATGAGTTGTTAAGGTAATAACAACCCTAAATGAATTGTACATAGAATAACCAGTACGGTATATCTTCCGTATTTTGCATATTATAGCATTGCAACAAATGAAAACGCTACAAGAAAAATGCATCAGAGCTGTTTCAATCTTAATTTTCAGTATTCTCACCCCAAAAAAAAAAAGGTTTCCTGTTTTATTGGAGTAATGCGAATAAGAAAATGCCCCAAGCTCGGCTTCATTATTCCATTGCACTACAATCATCTAATCCAAATATTACCATAAACCATAGATTTTCTGCAAGAAAGAATTTGCATTTGAAACCCTCAAAAAGCTGATTCCCTTTCATGTTCCATCATCTAAGCTACAATAGCCTAAGCACTCAGAGAGAAAGAAACGCAGAATCTGGCATAAAGTCAAAGCTACAACCAAACTAGATCATACCCTTACAAAATCTAATCAAAACCACCAACCCAAGATAGCCCAATCATATATAAACATAAGACAAAACAACTTAAATTGAAAGGGCTGAACTGAATATAAGCTGACCTGTGAGAATACAGAGTTGAAGCAACATAGATTATCCATAAAATTCAACCCCTCTCCAGATTTCTCACCTTCTTCAGCTATAACCCAACATGTAAAAAGAAAACTTTTCCCCAGGATTCCTCAACCTGCATAATCAAAGAAAGAAAACTCTTGATCATCAAAACAGGCAAAACCCCTGAGATTCCTACAAGCAGAAAAAACAATACAAAATCATGAACTGGTCTTCTTTGAATTTCCCTTACCGATCCACCAAATTCCCAAGAAGAAAAAGAACGAACAGACCACACAGCTTGTACAAGACTTGAACTCCCTCAATTGTTGACTATTTCCTCTGTTCTCAAAATAGAAAAAAAAAAAGACAAAAGCTTTGAATAGTATTGTGACTGAGACAGAAACAAAAAGGAAATGGAAGTCTTCGGAGGGGCAAAGGAGAAAGAAGGCAATAGCTAGCCCTTATTGACTTTTCTCTCCTGGGTTTGCCTTTTATTTTTCTTTGTTTACCGAAAGGTACTCCATATTTGAGTTAATGGCATAGGAGGTTCCCAGATTGTGACACTAATTCGAAATTGGTCTGTAAATGTTAAAACATTCTATATCAGTTCCCATATAATAACTTCTATTCTAAATTAGTTCAAATATTTTATATTTTATCAATATCATTTTATTTTGATTCTTTAATCAACGTATCATTAATTTTAATGATTTTTTAAGATTATGAATATGGAATCTGTAACCTTCTAAAAATATATATATTTTAATATCTTTGTAATTTTTTTTTTTTTTTTGGGTAAACTATTAAAATTGTCTCTTTCATTTCTTAAGTGTACAATTTTAGTCACTAAATTTAAAAAATAATATTTTGATTATTTACGTTGTCTATTTATAACATCTTGATCACTTACGTCATCAATTTATAATTTTTAATCATTGACACGTTAAATATCGTTAGTTTAATGACATGATATACTAATAAAAATATTAATTTTATAAATATTAATTTAATTTTTAAATTTTAAATAAAATATAATATTAAAATTTTTAATTCACTTTTTCTTTTAATCTGGATGTGTATTTGATGGAAGAAACTTCCCAGCAAAGGGAACCCGGAAAAGAGCTAATCTGGGTAGCTTTGGGCATCGAGTTAATCACAGTTCTATAAGTTGTAGCCATAACCAAAGCAGTGTCCGTTGCGAAATCAACGAATATGCCACCAACTATGTTTCGCCCATCAAACAAATTTTCATTTTCCCCCACACGTTGCTATCCTCCATTATTTTCTGTCTGTCTTCTTTTCCATCGTTTCTCTCCACGTGTCCCCACATTTTCTCGTTGATCTCTCTTTATTCTGTATAAACTTTTCCTATGGTTTATTTTCTCTCGTTTTGATCTTTTCATTTGTTACTTGGTTATTTCATTTGATTTCATTGTTTGCAGTTTCAAAATGGTGAGAGTAAAGGGCTTTGTTTTAACTGAGGAAATATTGTTGAAAGGTGGAGGAATGATTTTTGATTGGTGGGATGAGATTGATGAATCTGATGAATGGCAGAGATTCATTTTCTATTTCTTATCAGCTTCCTATGCTCTTGTGTCCATTGTTGCCCTGGTAATTTCTTACTTTGCTGCATTTTTTTATTGTTTAGTTTGTGATGGAGAACTGGAATTGGAGGGAAGCAATTTGATTTAAAATAAAACTTTGAAAAGCCGTTAATGGAGTTTATTTCTTCTATCATTCATGCATGGATGTGCATGTAAGCTTGAATCTTTGCTTGCAATTTCCTTTCACAATCAAATCAGGATCTTCTTCTTTGGTTCCCAGATTGTTTGATAGAAAATAGTGATTTGTATTCACAAGTTATTGTTAAAATTATAATTATTTTTATTGCTGATTCACGGATTCTGGGATTGGATTTAGATACCATTATTATATTGCTTCAAGAATTTCATTGCAATACCCTGAAAAAGTGCTTATGTGCTCTTCAAGAATGTTTGATATGGATATGCATTCGATGTATTTATGCTCGAAATATTTTTCATATATTTGTAGTGTCATAAAGTGCAGGATAGTTTAGTGAAAATGAAGAGAGTGAGTAACATACGGGAAATTTATTCCAACAAAGTAGGCATCATCGGTTCCTTCTATCAAGTGAATAAACTGGAAGAGCAATTCTATTACTCCAGGGACTGTAGTTCACGGATTGATGTCATGTCTAGGTCTATAACATGATAGTGAGATTCATGTGAATCTCGACATTGCTATTTTCGCTCAACTTTCATGTTTTCTGTCCTAATTAATGAGTGCACAATACAAGACTATTGCTTTCTAATAACATTAATGCTACAATGTTTAGGTACAACTGTGTCGTATTCAATTGAGAGTGCCAGAGTATGGGTGGACAACACAAAAAGTTTTCCACTTGATGAACTTTATTGTGAATGGATGTAAGGGTTGTGTATTTCCTGCCATAGCTTTGCCAGCAGCTGTTTTGTAACTTTGGCTATTAAATTTGTTCTGCATTTTAACAGTGAGGGCTGTTGTGTTCGGTTTCTACAAGAGTGTGTTTCTCATTAAATCCAAGGTATGGATCATAATTTAGAACTTTAGAGTCATTGTACCCGAATTCCAATTTGTTATGTGTTATGTATGTTGAAAGAGTATCTGGTTCATCTATATAGTTCCTTTTTTTTGGGACCCTGTTTCGTTTCTGGCGGCAATATAAGAAAACAAACGTGTGGCCTGTCATGTTATACCCGTATAACAATGACCATTTGGCTGTAAAGTTTGGAAGTAAAATATGGAACCGCACACGTCTAAAAGTTTGTATTTTTTAAGTTCAATCATCAATAAAGAGGAAATGAGTCTAGCAGTTGATTATTGAAGTATCAAGGGCAAGACAAGAGATAGCTCCTAGTGTAATAGTTTACAATCTGTTGCAAATATGTTATGTGCTATTCTACAAGAATAAAACCCTAGGCAACCTCAATTTAAGATGACTATTCTTAGTAATAAAGTTAGACACTAGGAATATCACTAAAATAAACTTAATTGTGTTCTTTCCATTTTCGATGCCTTTGACATCTTGTCTTGCCCACAAAGGCAACCGTAACATTATGATTTGCTCCATCTTTTCGGAATGAGCCATCTCTTTGGAAATAGACCTTTGATTCTTACTTCTGTCAACTGAGGCAATAGTTGTTATATCAATGTCTCTAGGCCACTGTACATATTTTCTTACTTGGCTTCACCACCCTAAGTTAACATCCATGATACAGGCACTTGAAATGGTCCTTCTGGATCTTCCCGGTCTTCTGTTTTTCTCGACATATACATTGCTTGTCCTTTTCTGGGCTGAGATATATCACCAGGTAGACAACCGTCCCTTTCTACAAAGTCCTTCGACATAAGTAATCACCATAACTGTATGATTTGATGCTTTTGGAGTCGTTCTTTTCCTTTTTATTGTTTAGGCAAGAAGTCTTCCCGTTGATAAACTTCGGCCCGCTTACTATAGCATCAACGGACTTATATACTTTGCTCAGGTAAAGGGAACAATATAATCGCTTATCAGCTATTAACTACACCTAAGAAGGAAATGATTTTTTTTACTTAATAACATTCATCTAAGTTGCCTACTTGTTTCCTCTGCTACCAGGCATGCCTATGGATTTCAGTAAGATTAAGTAAGAGCTATCTTACAGGGGAAATTAGTAAACTCTTTGTTTCAGGTACGGTTCCCCCTCCCCGGATTTTGTATCAGTTCAGTGGCCCCGTTAATTTGCATTAAACAGACAAGAAACGAACTGAAGTAATTTTGCAATTTTCAATGGTCTAACATGGTCTGAACAGTCCTTTTTATTTAGTTAACAAATGAATAGCTTCCTAGGACTCAATGAACATATCTGGTCTTTTCATTTCGCCAGTTATATCATTCTTTGCTGCATTGGGGTTCATGATATATGGCGGGAGTTTGTTCTTCATGTTGAGACGGTTCCCTATCGAATCGAGAGGCCGCCAGAAAAAGCTGTTTGAGGTATGGTAATTTGTATCATTAAAGGATTTGGCATTTATTAAAGAGAAAATAACCTCAAAAATCCTAGATAATATACGATTTTGACCAACTTTTTTTGGATTTGCGAAAATGACCAACAAAATCGCAATGCGATCTCTAATTCGCATTGCGATCTCCACTATCGCAAATTCGCGTTGTATTTCGCGTTGCGATAGTTGAGTTGCGATTTTCCATTTCGCGTTGCGATAGTCTACAGTTGTCGTTGCGATTTTCCAAATTCGTTGCGATAGTTAAAAAAAAAGATTTTGTTCCTTAAGAATTTTCTCTAAAAAGATAGTATCCGCGCGGACGTGTCGAAGACACGTACCACTACCACTACCACTACCACGACCACGACCACGACCACGACCACGACCACGACCACGACCACGACCACGACCACGACCACGACCACGACCACGACCACGACCACGACCACGACCACGACCCGAGACGGACGGCGGCGGCGGCGGCGCGCGAGAGTCCCCCTTGTTCTCTATCACTCAACAAGGAAGTGGGAAAGCCAAGCCTTAAATACCATTCCCAATAGTGTTTCCAATACTATGTGGGATTGAGCATTACCAACACTTGTTTCCAATACAATGTGATTATTCAGAAAACAATTAACAATCATGCACCTTAAAACAACTAAATTAGCAACCAATTGCATTAGTATTATACGATTAAATATGTCATAATTAAAAGTCAATCTACAATCAATCGCGATTATTGCAATTTTAAGCAAAACATTCAAAAATAATATCACTATTTAAGGCTCAATCCCACATAGTATTGGGAACAAGTGTTGGTAATGCTCAAATCCCACATAGTATTGGAAACACTATTAGGAATAGTATTTAAGGCTTGGCTTTCTCACTTCCTTGTTGAGTGATAGAGAACAAGGGGAACTCTCGCGCGCCGCCGCCGTCCGTCTCGTCTCGTCTCGTCTCGTCTCGTCTCGTCTCGGGTCGTGGTCGTGGTCGTGGTCGTGGTCGTGGTCGTGGTCGTGGTCGTGGTCGTGGTCGTGGTCGTGGTCGTGGTCGTGGTCGTGGTCGTGGTAATACGTGTCTTCGACACGTCCGCGCGGATACTATCTTTTTAGAGAAACAAAATATTTTTTTAACTATCACAAGAATTTTGACAACTGTAGACTATCGCAACGCGAAATGGAAAATCGCAACGCGAAATGAAAAATCGCAACGCGAAATGCAACGCGAATTTGCGATAGTAGAGATCGTATTGCGATTTTGTTGGTCATTTTCGCAAATCCAAAAAAAGTTGGTCAAAATCGTATATTATCTGAGATTTTTGGTCACTGAGATTATTTTCTCTTTATTAAATGTCCCTTATGAATGAAAAGAAGTTAAATTTTGAGATCCTTTCTAATGTTTATGCCCTGGTTTTCCTCATACAATGGTGTTTTTGTCTAGTTTATCTTTCTTTTAGTAGCATGCAAAGAAAGTTAGCAATATAACAATATCTTATTTCTGTGTCAGGTCGGCTGCGTAACAGGAATCTGCTGTACTTGTTTCTTGATAAGATGCATTGTGGTGAGCCTTATTCGATTTATAAGCAAATACTACATTAATCTTATATATATACACACGACAAAAATTGGTTCTTTTGGTTATTTTGCAGTTGACACTCTCGGCCTTTGACGCGAAAGCTGATCTTGATGTTTTAGATCATCCAATCCTAAATCTGATCTATTACATGGTACATCTGATTTCTGTAGTGTTCTACTCATTTCTTTATGCTACAATTAGATGGATTTCCATTCACATTAGACCGGTTTAATTGCTTTAAGACTCGATATGTTTCGATACATTATGATCTTCCTTTCTTGATAACAAGAGCACTTGATCAACGACATCATTTTATCGAAGAGTACTTACCCTCTTTTCCTTTTTTTGTGGGAGTAACAGTTGGTAGAAATCCTTCCTTCAGCTTTGGTGCTCTTCATTCTTCGAAAATTGCCTCCGAAACGCTTCTCTGTACAATACCACCAAATAAGGTGAACTGAATGCATTTGTATCGTACCTGCAACTCCAAAGATTAACTGCTCCAGAAAAATGTGAGCAACCAGCTCGAATCTTGTTCATGATCATTTATATAGTTCGGTAAATGTCCGTTAACAGAGACCGAACGGTTCGTGAGCGATCTGTACGCTTATGATCCATAGTCTAATTTTACTGTCACAGAACCTTAACATATTGTAAACCCTAAATCGCCTCTATCTTCTCAATGGATTGGTAGCCCAAAAAATAAATATGGGCTGCTCTGTTATATTTACCTAGAAACAAGCAGAGTATTGAGTTAATACATTAGAGCCTTAGAGTTGGATATTATATTTACAGACAGAATGAAGTTAGACACCTTCCAAAATGCTGCAATGGAGTTGCCGGTCTATGTACAAAGTTTGATATCTCGGGTGGCTATTCAAATGCAAAAGGCATGAAAGCGTCATCATCCAAAATATCATTGACGTCGAGAAGGCCTTCATAACCATTAGCCACTTCTGTACTGTTCAGAACCATGTTGCAAGCCTGTGGAAGAGTATCTCAGAACGATTACAGTCATTTATATACATATTCACAATTAAAATAGTTAAGTTTCTGAATAATCAAACACAAGCTTGATCAGATTCCACTGGTTGAGGCAACAGCAAAGGACAGAAGCAGGGCAAGTTCAAGGTGCAAAGAACTATCTTCGGATTGACCTGCTGAATTGCCAACTATACTAAAATAGAGGTTCATGTGAAGCGAACAAATATATACCTTGTTTTCTTGAATCCCTTGAACCAATATCAGCAGCCTACGATATTGACCTCGTCCTTCAGGATTCTGAGCCATGGACTTTACCCTAGTGAGTGTCTTCTGCATCCTTTCTTCAGTTTGTTTTCTTCCCTCATGAAAATCATAATCATCCTCTTCTGGGGCTGTGCCCTGTGGTTCAGGTTCCTTGGTAATTGCATCCTTTCGAAATCCTCGCAAACCACTCCCTTTACGCCTCCACCGTAAAACAACTTTCTCCAGAATTCCCACTGACCAGATGATCGTTCTATACTGTTTCCTCACTTGGTGTCCTCTAACATTGGCCTTCACACCAAAAATTAAATATCGATAAATTCAAATTTTCATAAGGTGGTAAATAATAGATCAACAGATCCTAAAACTGAAGTGCTAAATTTCACTTTTATGACGAAAAAAATCTCCCCAGGTTTTTATCAGTAAATGCTAACAAATGAAGCAGGTTATGGCACAGGAGCCAACAGAAGTCACGTGGGAAAATCGTCTATGAAACCATCATTCTATTAAAAAAGTCACATTGGATGATCTACTCCCTTTCCAAAGAGAAAACGGGGGAGGGGGGGGGGAGGAAAATATAATTAGATACCGACAAAGATAAAAACAGCAATGAACTGAATTTTGACAATTCTTAGCCGGATCACAAGAATTCTTTTCTTTTCTTCCAACCTCGGAACTTTCTCTGGATTTGTGTTGCAGCAGTATTAACTATCCCATCACTTTGCAATGACCTGCGTGCCTTAGTAGTTAAGAATGAAATGGCATGTTCATCAGGCACACCATCACTAGACTCGCGCAACTTTTCCACTGGAAAGATTGCATCCTGAACATTTGATGTATACGATGAGCAGCTTGTGTGGCATTACATACAGCTGTAATTTAGTCGGTCAATGACATGTCTTGCACATCACAATAAATAAGAGAAGTTGGTATTCTATCTGAAACTGTTTGTACAGCTTCCCTTTGATCATTCATTGTTAGAGAAGAAAGGTAACAGGTCAAGGAAGATTCTGCAAGGAAACCAGAGATTCCTTTGTGTCCATTACCAGAAGCCAAGTCAGCAGGAGTTCTTCCCAAAGGAAATTCTGGAGATGGATCCGAAAGAGCTCCAGGAGCTGCTCCAAGGGAGACTAGAATCGCAACAGTTTGTTCTCTGAGATTTGCAAAATAAAAATAATCGTACACAAAAAACATTATAAGTTAAGCTTATAACATGGCATTTAATTTATCACAAGCCTGTCAACTAATGCAACAAAACCTGAGATGTTATCAAATGATTTCATAACCAAAGAGTACATAATCAGATTACAGCTAATTCAGTCAGCATATAAATTATAGGCTCCAGGCAAGCATAAAACACAAACAAGTGTAAGTTTGGGGGTCCTTGCCTGCCGCAAAAAGCAGCTCAGTGAAGACCAGTCCATCCATTCGCATCACGAAAATCTATGCTCACTCCAGCAGTAACAGTAGGTTTTATTGCCCAGTCATAACCAAGAGCAGATGCCAAATGTAGCACGCCTTGTCCCTTCTCGTCTAATATATTTGGCCCTTTACCATCTTCCATTATTTTGTGAAGAAGCCATGAGTACAACTTCTTTTTCATTAATTTCTGAAGGAGGCACTCCTTTTCTTTATTTTTAGACAAATCCTGACCGGATGAGGGGTCTGCAATCTGGTGGCACTCCTCCTCGTTCATTGATATGGGTTCAGTAATTAACTCTCGTTTCTCCACAACACCTTCAAAATGATGATTGAGAGGACTGAAAGATTTCAGAGAAAGTAGGATCTCAAATCGCAGCAGCATTTCCCTTGAAGCAACATCATAGATATAAAAAACATTTGTCTTTAGTGAACCCAGCTCGGTAGTCAAATTCCCGGAGTTCACTACAAGGTAACCTGTTGGAACATGTTATATAAAATGGGACTGGCCCAACATTATGAGGTGGAGCATGAGAAGAAAGAATGCCATCAGCAATAACCTCAGCTGGAACCTCCACTTCCCCAAACATACATGACCACCTATATTTTGATACTTCCTCTAGGCTCTTCAAAAATGTTCCAATAATCAACACCTGTTTCATGACACATAAAATGAGAAGGGAAAAGCCTACTTTTTCTAACTTGACATCTGTCAAAAGAAATTTAAAACTGAATATAAATCTAAAGGGGGATTGAGAAGTTGCATGACCTTGAAAATACTTGCAGCAACATATATTCTATGTTGCTCGGACTCTTCATTTTTCATGAAGTACACGTGTCTGACAACTGGATATGGGGATATGACCTCTAAGGATCATCCAAATATATGGAAAAACTTAGAAAAATCTAAAAAATCTAACCATACCCGTGTCCGAAACTTGCACCCAAGTCCAAGTAACATTGCATATATAGCATCAATATGATAAAAACGAAAAATGCACAATAAAAGATGACTGCAATCTGTTTTTCAGTGAGAAAGCAGGAGATAGAAATGGCTAAGTGAATAAGCAAGTACTAATTAAATCTTCAACTTTCTAGTTGTTGAGAAATTTCAGTTCAGATGCACAAAAACTTCAATACCTCAGTTTCTTGGTCTATGTAAGCCCACTTCGGTGAAAAATCAACTATGCAGAAAATTTGGTCTTGGGAGAGAGAAAGGCTCAAAGAGGAATCATCAGATACATTTCCACACTCAACAGTGCTCCAGGAAAAACCAGACAAGGACCGCATCTGCAAATCATCTACTTCTCCAAGTTAAAACTGTCAACTTTCTTTAAGCTTTCTTCTCCATCTAGTAATGACTTTTTTCAGAGAGTAAGTATAGTTGACATTTCCATCCGAATATATATCATTCTCAGGATATGTTTTAGTGATGGAATTAGAACCGGAACTTATAAGCTCCATTGAAGGGTTTTATGAGCAGGCGGCTCATTTAGAACATCATAACTGGTAAATTCCTTAAAAACATTCGGTAAATGAAAATCATGAGTATATTGCTCAAATGACCTAGTATCATACGGCAATTCAGAATTTGGCAACGGATCCGTAGGCCATTTGTGCAACTCTAGGGGATTTCCAAACTCCTCACTTGTACTCTCAACAGCTGAAAACTTGCCATACATCATGTTTTCTTGTTGCAGACTGCTGCTCATAGAATCAGATTGAGCAGAAGTCATCGAAACATGAGAAGATGCAGTAGCACATGCAGGCATATACTGCTCCAAGCTTTTGTTTCCAAGATGGTGAATATAGAGTTCTTTGAGATTCAGTCAAGCAAGTACCATAACCAATATTCCCAGGTCTATCTCCATGACGATGTGAAACTTCATTCACTCCAGGAATTGATGACCAACCTTCATGGTCATATTGTAATTCAAGTTTCCAACTGGCTCAAATGCAAAATCACACGGCATGAGAGAAGCATGTTCATGGAATCAAAATCGTAAGACAATACTTACCTGGATAAGGATGTGGAGAAGAATGGCTCAAGAACCCAGAACTGCCTTGTCCATCACAGTAGAATTTCCATTTTGGGGGGATGTACAGAATCTAGTACTTGCTTGGTGAATATCCTCTGTATTGAATCTCATAAAAATTGCATTCAGTTATATGCATAATGAGGAGAAAAACTAGTAACTTAATAACAAGTACAGAATAATGGCATAAAGATATGAATTTGAACAGAAACACAAAAAATTATACCAGAATCAGCATCTTCAAATAAGGATGTTAAAGTGCTGGTAGGACTTGCTGAATCTGCATGTCCTGAAGGTGTTTCTGTATGACTAACAGAATAGCTAGAGAATGAAAGACTGCTTGTTTGAGAATTTGATACATCACTGGTCTCTCTTATGCCTCCAACTGTCCTACCCTGAAAGAAAAGAAAACAATATGGGTCTGAAGTAAGAAAAAATTAACACGTGGAATAATTAACCACTCAAAAAACCTAAACAGTGGCCTAGTCAAAGTCAAACTTCCAAAGAATTAATAACTTAGGCAGGAAAAATAGTTTAAAAATTAGAATTAAACCACTCATTTATGAATATTCAATCAATTAATGTTGATACTTATGACGGCAATAGGAAGTTTGAATTTTAGACCAGAGAACAATACAACAAGAAACAATAAAATAGCTAAAGTTCAACCCCCACTCCCCTCCCCTCACAAAATATTCCTCCACCCCCGCCTCCCCTTAAACCGTTCAGCAGTAGTTCTTATTAATGAAGAACCAGACATGGATTTAGGGTCACAAAGAAACTAGTCAACCTGAGTCCTTATCTGTTCATTTGTTCATCTCTTATCTAAAGTTGTTGGGTAAGAACGGTTGATATTAGAAACTATATGTCACAGTACAATAAATCTTGCAAACAATTAATCATCTAGTCTTTCTCAAAATTAAAAGGAAAAACTTAGGGATTTTAATAGAAGTGAGTAGTACCTTGACTTCCAAGTAGTGCACAAACACTATATGCATCAAATCCCTGCAATATATACAAAATCATTCAAAAAGAAATTAACAAAGGTTGTAGACAAGAAACCGAGTATATAATTCCAAAATACTTCAACAAAATCCTTATGAACCCATAGACCCAGGAGGCTTACAAAACTCATAGTTATATTACATAATTTGCAGAAAAAGTACTGGATATAAATTTCCAGTCCTAAAAGTGCTCAACTTGCTCTACAAGTCTATGTAAGAGAAGAAAATGTACTCATTGTGGCAGAAACTCTAAAGAAAATGGATCATTCCATAACTATTACACGGCACAAACTCCCTCCATGACTAACCAATAGAGGCTTCTTAAGAAGCTAACAAGTATTACATGGTCCATGAGGCAAAACCATAAACAAATTTTCAAACATTGTTATCAGAGATACCACTTTATGCACTTGCTTAATTTTCGAACAAGTAGTACAAGATCGATCTAATTTTTAATCTTAATTCGTGTTTTTATTTGTTTTAAGCTTAATTTTGTATGTTGCTAGTTAATTAGAAAAAATATCGAATTTTTTTTCACAAATCATTAATGTTTTTTTGTCTATCTGTTGAGTAGATCAATTTTATTAAATATGATCACAATAACAAAGTTCTTTTATTAAATATTCAATGTTGCCTTACTTTTAATAACTTAAGATATTTAATTAAGTTATTTTTTTTTCAAACGTATAATAATATAACTTGGCCTAACGGTTTTATTAACAAGAAGTGTGATTAGTATATGCGTGTAGTTTGGGATGAAATTGGAATGTTCAAATTTTTTTTAGATCAATTTAGAATGAAGGTCATAGTTTGATAATGAAAATGGAATTTTAAGAAGTTTAAGGACTAATTTAGAATTATAGTAATAGTTTAGGGGTAAAATTGAAATATTTAAAAGTGTATGGACTAATTTAAAATATTAGTTATACTTTAAGGATATATGATGCAATTAACTCAAAAAAATAATGAAAAGAGAATCCGTAAGATTTACACGTTTACAGTGCACCTGCATATATTATAATATCCTTAACTATTTTCTTTTCTCTTTTAATTTTCCTGATTTTTATTACTAAAAAAAGGAAGAATCTTGATATTAATCTCCACAAACAAACCCTAGCCCTAAACATTGATTTCTCCCCGCTCGACCTCTCTATTCCTCCCAATCGCGACAATGTCTCATTTCGGAAGGTCAGGTCCTCCCGATATCACCGATACGTACTCTCTTCTCGTCCTCAACATCACCTTCCGTAGGCTCCCCTATCTCTTCGTCTATCGCCCGTTCGTTAAACAATTTCTCTTTTATCTACCATTTTGTTTATACTGTGACTGAAACCTTCGATTTGGTTTGATTTTGAATCTGTTTAGGCACGACTGCTGATGATTTGTTTCCACTCTTCGACAAGTACGGGAAGGTCGTCGACATCTTCATTCCCAAAGATCGAAGGTTCTTTCTCTTTTTTCATCACTTTTTTGGTTGTTCGGAATTTATATAGATAACAATTTTTGTTTGCTTGATGGTAGGACTGGTGATTCACGCGGCTTTGCATTTGTGCGCTATAAGTATGCCGATGAAGCTCAGAAAGCTGTAGATAGGCTAGATGGCACGTTTCTTCAACTCGTCCACTCTCCCTTTTTTATTTTAGCGCTTTTATATGTATTAAATGTGGCATTGTATTAATTTTGTAGGTAACTGATTCAGTATGTAATGATATTTCATTGTTCTTTTAGGGAGAGTTGTTGATGGTCGGGAGATAACTGTTCAGTTTGCAAAATATGGCCCTAATGCAGAGAGGATGTAAGTTGTGTGATAGACTGCTACCCGTCATTCATTCATTTATATATATTTCAGTGGAACATATTGTAAGGCCGATGTAGAGAAGATGCATGCAGTAAGAAGTTATTTGATGAAAATATGAAATTGACTCTTGTTTAAGAAGACATATTACGAAGGAATTTGGCTTGTTTTGCTTTAACAGGAGAATTGTCCACTTGCTTAAGTAATTTGTATCTACAATGGAAGTTTGGAAAGCTTGTTTGGCATGCTCAATTAAAATTTGAGGCTATACATGTCCATTTTTTTATGTGGACATCTCCTTATCCTTGTAATATTTTAATATTCTGAATAATTTTTCTTAAAGTCTTGGCCTAACGAGTTTCATGTACTTTGGTAATTTCCTTTGCAGTCAGAAAGGAAGGATTATTGAATCATTTCCAAGGTCAAGAAGCCGAAGTCCTCGAAGAAGGTAAGTTTTTCTTTGCATTTTCTCATTTTTCTCTGTCTTGTGCCTACGTCTCTGAATGAGTTGTGAGAGATATTGATGAAGGTATAATAACCATGGGGATTTTTCACGCATGATTCTTCCTTACCAATTGAAGCAATCTAGATCAGTAGTCGCATGAAGATGATAGTGCTACATGGTAGTACATTTAATATAAATTGGTTTACTTTGATATCTTTCTGTTCCTGCATTAAGTAGCTGAATGCATTGATTGTGGTTTATTTTCCATTTATATTATGACTACTGTATATTAGTTTTCTTTATCAGATTTGATTTCCTAGAGGGAACTCCAGTTCTTCCTCTGTTGTATGTATAATGCCTTTTAAGCTTGTTTGTATAGCAAAACCTACGTGGATTGATTTCCCCCCTTATGGTATTATTGATATGTGATGTTTTCCGTGTCAAATATATTCAGGCACCGGGACGACCATTACAAAGATAGGGATTATAGAAGAAGAAGCCGAAGTAGAAGTTATGACAGATATGAACGTGATCGATATCGTGGGAAAGACAGAGACTCTCAGCGCCGAAGCAGGAGCCGTAGTGCTAGTCCTGTCCGTTCAAAAGGCCGGGGAAGAGATCGTTATGATGAAGATCGGCGAAATAGCAGTCGATCAAGGAGGTTTATGCTTTGCAATCCATGATGTTCAGTTTATTCCATTTCCCCTTATTTTCATTCGCTAACTCATTGTGATGCTTTTTGTATTTCAGTGTTTCTCCTGATCGCCACAGTCCTAGTCCTCAGAAGAGTCCTTCCCTACATAAGGCATCTTCCCCTAGGGGTGAAAGTCCTGATAGACGGAGCCGTGATGGGCGTTCTCCAAGTCCTCGAAGTGTTTCACCACGAGGTCGTCGTGCTGATTCTCGGAGCCCGTCTTCTTGAAACACAGATTGATGTTAGTTTTCCCCATCTTGTTTACTCACTCCCCCTCTTCTTTAGTCTTTACATCTTGTGTGTGTGTAAATTTGTTTGTGCAACCAGCTATTTTGACATGTTTGCTTTTGTATTTTGTAGGAATGATCTTTGCAGATGGCATTGGAATTCCTGGAAACTTGACGTAGAATGTTTCCTGTTGCTATTTTGTTAATGTTGAGGACGTTCAAATATCATTTGTTCTTGTATTGGTAGGACTTTTTTGTTATAATTTTCTGTCCTGAACCTTTTGTCACTATTACCTAAGTAAGCTTTGTCATGGTATTTGACGTTATGTAGTTTGTTGCTTGATGTTTCAGTACACATCAATGATTCTGTGGTGCGAGTATGTTTTCATATTTTGCTCCCTCTACGTTGAGATATTATATATGGCTTTTATTTTGCTTGATATTTGTCTTTCTGATCAACTCAGGGGTCCCAATTTGAAATGCTCCTTTTTAAAATCATTATTATTGTTAAAAATGCTGATTCATCTCAAACTGTCTGTTGGCTTTTATAGCAATGTTCGGGGAAAGAGTGAGTTGAGCAAATGGACTTGATGTTGATGTTGCTGTTGATGCTGTTTATATCTATTGATGAATGTTCGTGATTGTGATGCTGGGTTATAGAAGTATGCTGCTGATTGCAGGGGCTGTTTGTTAACTGTTTTTAACTGAAAGATATGATGATTGGTAAGAGATGTCTTGGTTTCCGGAGCACTTTTTATCTTGTTTCTGATGTTTGCATCTGTTTTCTAAATATTGGCTGAGGCTTAGTTGCTGTGATGGTATTAAAGGACCCAAGACTTTGACCCGTGGGATGCTGTGTTTAATGGAGCTCTCTTGCATTAGATCTGATGCAGTTGCTAAAATTGAAAATGTAATGTTTGGTGAAAACCTTATTGCTGCATTAATTGAACATAATAACTGGTTTCAGTTTAACCGTTTGATTGTTGTATTCCATTAATCATGTTTAACCCCTCCCTGTCATTTAATGTTTTGAGTTGTAGCAAAATTGACCGGTAGCTGTGAAGTGGCCATACTAAGTTTGTTGTATGATACATATGGCTCGTGCGTAACCACCGTAATAACCTATAGCAGACTGTTGCTGTCTTGTTGGATCATGTTGAAAATGGTTTTAGCAGTTGCCTTGCTTTCTGCCTTGTCTGCTTGTAGTGGGCTGTCGCTGTGTTCCTGCAGGGTCATGTCAATTTTAACATGCGGTGTTGAAATGCATTCGATATGCTGCCCCCTGTCACATGTTTGGTTAAATTTTATCATCTTTCCTTAAAGTTCCCTATTCATTATAGTGATATCATTCTTATCTAGAACATATCACTATTCATTCGTTCTTAGACCTATTTTATTCATAGGAAACCACCCTTGTGCTTGAGCATAAAGAATGAAAGAACAGAAAAGTTTAGGCTTGCACTCAGTGGTGGTTAAGCATGCTGAATAAATGAGGGGGTTGCAGTTGCAGTTGCAGTTGCAGTTTTATGCTGATACCTCAAGCTGTGTTGCTTTGATTTCAGATGGTATCGGTTCTTGACATTCTTGGATCTCCTTTTTCATTTCTGAATTTCTAGATGACCTGACAATGTTGTGACTTCTCAATTTGCTCTTTGTTTGGTGTGATAGAGTTCGCTTTTATAGGTATCAAAGCAATGACTCATGGCCTTTACAAGCATGCTACAATGTTGTTGTTAAATTTCCAAATAAGGGTCTGTGCTTTTAGTGATTATTCATGAGGGTCTATTGTTTTTATATAAAAAATGGTATGTTTTATAGGACTTTCAGTTTTCATATATGCTAAGGGTATAGCCTTTCAAAATGGTTCAATAAGAGCTAATGTTTTTGAAATTTATTAAATAAAGGTTAAATCTTTTGAAAACCGTTTTCATAAGGGCTTTTTTTTTATCAGCTTTCGGATCTTTATTAGATTAGGTTTGAAACGTAGGTCTTTGTTTGCCATTTAGCTTGCACTTCTTAAAGGATATATCTTTATTTGAGTATTTAGCTTAATTCTGTCTTAATCTTGTCGAATGTTGATTTATTTTTGTATGAACTATTTATTTTTGGATGAAATCAAGAATGGTTGGACATTGTAAAGTATATTTCTGCTGCAATTGGTGGTGACTGTGTAACTAAACGCTAGGCCGATTTCCATCGCTCCTTTGTTTGCGCTATTCAGAATTCGTCTTATTTTTACGCTCGACCAAAATTGTAGGCAATGCGATGAATGACACAAATATACTCTCTCGCTGCTGCGAATAGAGTTACGTTTTCCACTTGGTCGTCGCAAAATTTGGTGTTTGAATTCGAGGTTTGGAAATAGGTTATTGATTGCTATAGGCAATAGAAACCGTGAATGTACTACAAGACGGTTCGTCAAACGGATGATAATTTACTAATATGGTAAGGGTATTCAATGTTAAGATTCAGAAAGGAAAGAACTAATTGAATGTAAAAATCGTTGCAATTGTTTGTTATGTTTCTCTTGCCACTATATACTTGAGGTTACAGGGCCCGACAGTCTTAACTTGGGCGACCACAAGGATCTTCCTTTTTTCTATTCGACGCCTCTCCCTCTCTGGGCTAGTTTTGCATTGCCGATGTTGGAGAGATTTCTTTTAAGAAATCAAAGTTAGTATTCAGTTGAAGGTAGAGCTGAGAAATTGTAAAGATGGAAGAAATACCACCGCGCTCTAATCTCAAGCGTCCATTCTTTGAAGATGAAGGCTCCAACATGCTGTTGCCGTTACGTTGTTGTTTTTTTCTATTAATACTGATTATTGATATATAGATGTATGACTTGACAGTGTAATCTCACCGTACTATTTTTATGCATCGGCACTACTCAAGGTGAACTGTTCCGTTGACCTGGAGTTTCTATATATGATTATCAAAACTTCAATCGATATAGGGCGCATGGCCTGATAGTGTGGAAGGTGATGTACAATATATCGAATAATAGGGATAGACATATGGTTTTATGTTAGAGGGGCGAATTTATAAAATTTTAAAGGAGAGATGAATTTATAAAATTTTAGAAGAGACGAAAATAGATTTTTAACAAAAAAAAATACAAAGAAAATATTCAAATTATATAAGAACTTAAAAATTTTAGTGGGTGTCCGCCCCACCCGCCCCTAGGTATATCCCTCCTGAAAAAAACAAACATTTGCTTCAACATGCTGCTTGGATTTCTACTTTCCTTTTTTCAATTAAAGAAATTGTTAGCGCGTCAGGGCGTTGTATATGTTGCGTCTTACGATTTTATCGATCCAGAGTTTAAAGATTGTTCTTATGATCTTTTGAAAATTGTATTTTTTATAGATCTCTTAATGTATTGAGTATTGATAGAAATGATAATATTTTTTTATTTTTTATTTTTATCTATCTAAATTCGTCTCGATTCGAGTTCAAAGATGTTTAATCCAATTCAAACTCTGACATGAATTCTGGTATAAAAATTTATACTTGACGCGATCTCATTTTAATATATATATATATATATATATATAATCACACAATATTTTTATTCGGTAAATTTGAAAAAAAAATTATAGAGAGGAGAGTATTATAAAAATTATCTATAAATATATAATAAAACATACCATTATTCCAGTTCGCATAACATTTTTTTGTCCTAAACTCGAATTCAATCGATCTATTCAAGTCATAATATTTATTCTAAATAAAAATTCAATCATATTAAATCAAATAGGACTCATTGAATTTAAGAAAAATTACTATTATTAAATATTATCCTCGTTAAGATTTTATCTCTCTATTTTAATTATGAGAACCATCAGACATGAATATTTTATCATGTATGTGTCATAATCTAATTAATTATTAATTTATATATCATATTTCAATTAACATTTTTAAGTTATTATATTGTAGGTCCAAAACATACTCGAGAATCAATAAATATATACAGTTAGAGGAGTAATTTGAAAAAGTAATGATGCCAATAATAGAACAATCTAAAAAGTGCATGCCCTTTTCGTAATTCCCCGGAAACAAAACCAACAACGCGAAGAAGTATTATATATATATTTATCCAAAGCCATTGGAGAAGCCTTCCTCTTTGAATTTCCGATCTATGCAGCGTGCTTAGCAATTCAGGTACCCGATCTCTCTCATTCCGCGTTCTCTTTCCCTCGATCTTTGAATTTAACGCCAATTTATTCTCATAAACTTTCTTATTAATTTGTAAAGAATATATAAATTCTAGCACCTAATGTTTTGGTTTAGTTACGTAGGCTTTTTTCACTAGTTGGAAGTTTTAATTTTGATTTGATTGCCAGATAGGTGTGGATCTTCATATGTTTATTAATTCAGTTTTCTAGCTTGAGTACGGATCTGGTCTCTTTTCAGTCAAATTAATTATATTTGATGGTCAGTTTTTATTATATATTTATAGATTCTAAGTTAATGGTTTTGCTGCGGATTTTTTGTATGTATTATAAACTTTAAAAGTTAGGTGCATATGTTTTTAATTCAATTCACTAGCTTAAGGATCTCATTTCTTTAATTCAGATCAATTAATTTTGGTGGTTCAATAAATGCTTTTTTTACTATGAATTTTTTAAATTGCACGAGAAATTGTATAATATATGATATCTGTGTTTTTCCTTTTTTATTGCAACTGGGTTATTGGTTTTGATTTATAACACATGCATCAATAAGAAATATTTTGGAATACTGCCTGGAAAGTTATAATTTACTGAATGAATACGGTTCTATCAAGTTTCCTTCCCATTATTTTTTGCTTTTTGTTCTTTGAATATAAATGTTTAGTGAATTATCTTAATTGTTATCAAGAGTATTAACTAGAGGTTGCCTGATTCTTTTTTTGTATTGTGTTGAGAGTATAGTATGCATTCACTGAGAGTGGTAAATACTTGTTTCATAGCCTTTTGGTTGATGCTTTTCCTCTGATCCACTAAGATTTTATCTCTTTATTCTACATTGGCACCCTTTTTCTTTTTGGTGGGAATAAGTGAAGTTTCTTTTCTGATCTCTATGATCTGTCAAAGTTTTAGCACTTCTGAAGTTTTGCGCAAACCTTTTGTGTGCTACCATAGCTGCTATTAGTTGGGTGGTTGCAAGGAACTAATATCAGGCATGGAGATTGACAAGGAGCAAGAACATGTAGAAGGACAGGAGTCTGAAAAATCCATGCCGTCATCTCAAGAGGAGGTGTGTCCTTATCTGCCATCATTGTGGAATGCTGATTTATTAAACATTTTAGTTAATTATGATTATCTAATTATGATATCGTTGATTTATTTATTCTTTTATGTCTATATTTAGGAGAAAGCTATAAAGAAAAAATATGGTGGGATTAAGCCGAAGAAACCACCACTCATTTCTAAGGTGATTCCCATGTGGAAATTGTAAGTTTTTTCTTTCTGGTTTGTGCTGATTCTCATCTAAGTTTATGTCAGGACCACGAACGTGCTTACTTTGACTCTGCTGACTGGGCACTTGGAAAGGTACTTTTAAGATTCTCCAAATCCCAATCAACCTTTTTTTATTTGGTTATCATAGCTTGGGAATGCTAATGAATCCTGATTAAGCAAGTTTCCAATTTCTTCTCATGTTTTTTAATACTAACAGCAAGGCGTTAATAAGCCAAAAGGACCACTTGAAGCCCTCCGTCCCAAGTTGCAGGTATTAATTTAAAGCTTATAAAATTATTTAATTTAATATTCTCTTTTTGTATTATATGATTTGACTTCCCTGAACTACATTTTGGTTCAGGATTGATGAATATTTTATGTGAAAATGTATTTCAAGAATTATTATTAATTACAAAGATTAGTGAGAGCAACAGAGTAGGTAGTCCTTTGCTAATGCAGCAGGATAGGACTGTTTAAGAAAGCTTAAATCGATTTGCTCCACTTTTATAGGGTTCCCTAATTGGTCAAAAGTTTAAACCACTCTAATCTACTTTATTAAGACTCATTAATTTGGTCACAAACAGGTCTCTTTATGGCTCAAAATAGTAAACCGGCTTTGCTAGAACTTTTGCATGACTAGAGGAGCAAAAGGGATTGCAATATGTAGATTATTTTAAGGTCTTTAATTACTGGATCAAATGGCTTGCATAATTGTTTCTGAACCTTTTGGTAACATGAATGGGAAGACCATGCAGAACATTGATTGGGGTTTTAGATTTGCTTGAAATCTTGTAATCTACCAAGACCCAAATTTTATCGTACATTGTTGGGTAGTGTATTGACATGATGCCATTGGTTGTCTCCGTAATCAATTTGGCTTTTATGTCATGCTGAGTATCTGACTGAGGGTTTTTTGAAGAGAAAAATCGATGGTTCTGACTTCTGATACATTAATGTATCAAGAATCATGTTGTGGTGAGGATTTTATGAGGTTCATGTTTGTAATTTCAAACACTTTACCTTTGATAAAGAAGAAAAATGGTTCGAGGATGATCTGTTCATCTGTAGTTTACCTCTTTGTGTACAATATTTTTCTTATGTGTATTTTGAAGTCTGCTAAGCTATTCTGATTTTGATAAAGCTAATGATTAGCAACATATCATATGGTCTACTCTAGATTCTAGGGTCATAATGATGAATCATAAGGTTCTTACATCCTAATTTTGCTTTCCATGAGTCGATCACTTTTTACACATTTATTTAGTAATCTTATGATTACGTACTTCTCTGCTTTTTGTCTTCAGCCCACACAACAACAAACACGATATAGGAAGTCCCATTGTGCCCCATCTGATGGTGGTGAAGGTATGCCTTGTTACTGACAATTTGACATCGCAAAATTTTATTGATGAATGTTCTTTTTGCATCTGCATTTTCCTTTTTGGAGGCAAACTGTGTTTTAATCAATTCACTTTCACATGCTATTATGCAGATGGAGGGAGCACTCAACCAGAGGATGGAACTGCCAACGAGTGAGAAACTGTCTTCAATCTTCTGATCATGTGAAGACTATTGATCGTTATTCTGATACCTGTCCAGGTAATGAATAATTTTCAATTGTTCCCATGAATAAACTTGGTGAAGATATTCTGATATTAGTTAGGATTGATAAATTACAGCATTAATGCAGTCGAGAACTGAAATGTCCACCGTTCCAAGGTTTTTTCTTATGTGGAACATTAATCCTTGTAACACGAGTAAAATCACTTATCAAATGAATTCCCCCCCCCCCCCGATTATTCTCATATTCGTCCTATATTAGGCATGCTTCATTGTTCCATGGAAAGTGAACCAGTCATTTCACTTTCACTTGTCATTTAAAGAGTAAGCTTGTAGATATATGTTCAGACGGGCTTTGGTTGATGCTTAACGTAAGAGCCTTCCCTTAACAACTACCGACTCCGGATCTTAGTCAAAAGACAGAGAAAGGTATTATAATATTGAACAGAAGGCATAGTTACACGTAATTTCTATTTTAGAAACATATAAACAAGTCATTTTATTTATGCACCAAATCTGCCATGATCCTGAATCATATATATTCCTCTAAATTGTGTCTTCAGCAACCTTTGATCAACCCGATCAAGATACCGGCAACAATGTTGCTATTCTTGTCCTTGCTGGTGTTGAATTCCAGTATCACAAGGTTTTCTAAAGAGCTGCCTGTTTTTGTTGCAAAAGCTTTATTTATCCCTTTGATGTCTATTCCCGACCTGGTAATCACCGTTCGAATCAGAATCTCTCGACCATCAGCCTTTTTCATCCTCAGTTGTTTTGCAAAAAATTTCTCTGGATGTTGTATGCACCGGATTATGACCCTAAGTTCCTTCCCGAATTGCCCACATTTGCTTCTCTTGACGGACTTATCAAATTCATGGCCATATAATTGCTTGTAGGAGCTTAGGATGGCTCTTACTTGGCCATTGTTCCTTCGACTCAAAACTGAAATTATCGTCTTCTGGTCTATTGTTTTCCCACTTTCCAGTGCCTCATACAGGGTCTTGGCATCACACATGGCCAAGCTCATGTCGGCTTTACTGCCGTAATTCCGACATGATCTCAGAACAGCCAACAGAATCTAAGCAGAACGATAGAAAAATTCATTAAATTTAGTCAAGACGAGAGTTTTGGATAGCTAGAGAATAACAGTTACCTCTTTGAATCCGCCGTTGATTTTCACAGTTAAATCCTTTTCAAGGTCTGATTGATATTCGAGTTTGATAACAGTGCTTGATCCGTAACAACTCCGACGATGGCCGGGTGCAAGCCACTTCGATGAGAGTATTGAGGTTTAAGTTTCCCCCGAACAACGAATGCCTCATTAGCTGAGCATCTCGTTCATGAGGTTCAACCATGCGGAGACAAGCTATCCTCTACATGAATGGCAATGTAATGTGTCAATATTGGCACATCTAAATCATATAAATTCCACGTAAAACTATAAGTAATCAACTTTGGATTTTCTACTTACGGCAAACGAGTTGTTCCTTTGAACATTCGACGTTAACTGAAGAAGATCTTGACCGTACCGGCGACTGTAAGTTTGGCGAACGAGTTTGAGAGCATTCAAGTCTCGATTAACGAATATTCCGACTAATTCCTTGTTGCTTATTGCCCCAACATTTCCTGATAAACAATTCTCGTTGAAAATAACATAAATAACTCCTATGTTATGTCAAATTATTTCGAAAACCCGATAAAAATGAAAACAAAAAGGTGAAATACCAGAGATGTAAGAGTGAAGGATATGGCAATCTTGCTCATACTGTCTGGGGGATTGAGTGAAATTAGTGGCCATCAGAAAAAAAAATTCCTGGGAAGAGAGATTATTTTATTATACGTTTCCAAGTAAAACATGCAATAGAAACAAGAGGGCAATGGCAATATTTATATTGGGTTTTGGAAAAGAATAAATTTACATTTTGGGGTTTAATTAAAGGGAGAAAGCGATGGGGAAAACAAAAAGAACGTCCAAAGTGGAGAGAAGAACAAATCCTGAATTCCAATATCAACCATGTTGTCATCCCAGCGGTTCACGTTCTATTGCCTGCTCACTTTAACTTTGCTATGATTAATGCTAACAAAAAGTATCTTTGGAAGGTGAAAAGGACCGGAGAATGTTCTTTTGGTACATAAAGTGCTCATCACACATCGAACAACATTACTCTTATTAATCGATTAATCTAAATTTAATTGTAATACGAGGACAACTTTTCTAGTCTAACTTATTCTATTCACAATATCAAACCTTGTTTAAAGCATCTAATTTTTTTATCCTACTGGACCAACTGAGAGTTGTTATTTTAAAATGACTTTAATATCAACGTTGTCACTTGAACTGATAACCTCTAAAGAAATATCACTCTCTTTTATCACTATGATATCATTCAATAGGTTTTTATTCAACTCCAAACATATATTTTATCGTTTTAATACACAATCTCATCATCATTACTATTTTTAATCTAATCAAAGTTCATCCAAATAATCTCAGCGAAAGCGTCGGTTCCCAGATATCTGTAAAGCCCGACCATTAGGGCGTTGAGTTACAAAACCTACGACTGTAGACGTAGAACTTGTTGGTTCTTTAGTCAATACGTAACAGTGGCTGCATATAAATAGCAGATGGCTGTTGTCACTGTTAAATGAGCACTAAAATTCAACAATAAGTCTCTTTGAATTTGGCATGTTCTGAGAATGAGAACTAAAGATAACAGTGGATAACACCATTAATGTCTCCTAAACAGTTTAGCATTTTTGCTCACTACGTCATTGCATACGCTTCCAGGGAGCTTTAGCCAATATGTGAACATTTAGCGAAAGCAATAGCTCGGGTTTTCGGTCAATTTGATCCGAGAAACATACCTTTTCCATCCAAACTTGATTCAAAGCTAAAATGATGTTATCCTATTTTAAATACGACCTGAATTTTGAGTTAAAAATTCACATTTGATCCTATCCTATCCAACATGCATATAAAAATTATTTTTATTCGATAAAATAATAACCTAATTAAAAAAATATATAGACTTGGCATCATATTTATCCCTAAATATACGTAATAAAATTATACTATTATCTAGATGGATAGGATTGGAGATTTTTTACTTTAAATCTAAATTTGACCCGATTCAACAATACCTTCTACAAAATTCGACTGAATCGGATTTTTTTCATTACAACAATAATTTCGTAAAATTTGGTTCCAATCTAAGAACAAAGATGATATGAAGATCATAAGATACAATGCAATTCTACTAGTAATTTATTACAGAAATTTAGAGTGACGGCTACGGAAGTAAAAGAATTTCAACTTGGAATTAAAAAGAAAAAAAAAAGCTTGGTTTTCCGATCACACCCATAATTTTGTGATTAAAAATGGTAGATTCTTGCAAATTTTGAAGCCCCCGGAGTTTCAAAATCTTACCAGCTTCGTCCATCGCGAACTACAAGTACTGTGGAGGCATTAGTTGAGAAAGACTCATCTGTCAACGATTGATCCACTGATAATTCCTCTGATTCATCCGAGTCAACGGCCTTGATGCTATCTATTTCCCTCACCACTTCCGCCATCTCCGGTCGTTTCTCCGGCACCTTCTCGCAACAACGAATGGCAACCTGCAGCAGCTTCAGCATTCCTGGTGTTGCACTTCTCTGCACCGATATCTCCGTATCAAATATCTCGGCCGTCCATTCTTCCCGAACAGCTCGATGAACCCAACTGCAGAGATCGACACCATTAATCCCCGGTGGAGCCGAGTGATTCGAGAGTCTTCCCGTTAGTAGTTCCAGAAGAAGGCAACCGTAACTCCACACGTCGGATTTCATCGAAACACGCTTCGAGTTCTGGTATTCGGGTGATTTGTACGCGACCAGCACTTGCGCTGCAGTCGGAACGGCCACGAGTGAAGAGAGACCATAATCGGAGACGAGAACGGTGTCGTCTTCCTCGAGGAGAACGTTAGACAGTTTCAGGTTACCGTGTGGAACAAGGCATTTGGGGAAGTTGGCATTGAGATGAAGATATTCCATTGCTCGAGCCACCATTCGAGCAATGGCTAATCTCGAGTTCCATCTAAACGGAACCCGGCCCCTAGTACCTCTACCTCCTGCAATTTACACAAAAAATATTAACCAACATATATAGTAAAAGCAACAATTATTAATCTCAATTTCTCACCATGAAGACGACTGAAGAGGTTTCCGTTCTTGGCATATTTGTAAAGTAACAACTTCTCGCCATAGGCATAGTAGTAAGCAAGCAAAGGGAGCAAATTGGGATGCTTTTGATCTGCAATTACTCTAATCAGCTTCGAGAATTCGTCGTCGTTCAACGGTTTCAAATCCTTGAGGCGTTTGACGACGACAGCAAGCCGGCCTTCCAACTTAGCCTTATAACTATTGCCCAAAAGCCCTTTGCCTAGCCCTTCGGCTGAAGCCCTGAGCAGATCGTTCAATTCGAAAGCAGCTTCGTCGTCCCCCATGAATATCAGATTCCCCTTCTCTTCTTCCTTTGGCGCAAATGTACTCACTTCTTCGTGAACATGACTAGTGTTTTCTTCTCTGCTTTCCTTGTAATTAAAACTCACCCCTCCCATTTCCAAGAACTCATCGTCTTTTTCTTCGAGACGGTATCGTTTGATCAGCTTCTTGAGCTTCCTGGACTTGTTGCAGTAAACAATAAAGAGCAATATCACGGTAATTAGACCGATAATATCGAAAACGATTAATATAGTGGCAACAGATTTCTTTTTGGAGTCCCCTGATGGTGCTGTTTCATTTTCACTAGAGTAACAAGTACTGGAATTCAATGAATCACACACATTGGGGCCATTGCTGGCGTATGATGCAGGGCTGAAGGATTTCAGGGTTACGGTTCCCGGGATTGGACCGATGATGTTGTTGTTCGAGACATTGAATACTGTTAAGCTCTTTTGGTTGAATTCTGGGATTCGACCTGTCAATCGATTATCCTGAAGCTGCAGTGATTGTAAGAACTCGAGACCGAGAAGCGAACGCGGGATTCGACCATCGAACATGTTGTTCGACAGATCGATGTCTTTCAACTTCGGATTGGAAGAGAAATCCATTATATTCCCTGATAACGAATTGTTCTTGAAGCTGAGAGTAATCAATTCCGAAAGCAAAACGAATGCGTCGCCGCTTACGGCCCCGGATAAGCCTCGGTTCTCTAATATTATCGCGGTCACACGGCCGTTTACGCACCTGACGCCGTCCCAGAAAGAGGTGTTGTCGTAGCATTGAAGACCCTTCCAGTTATCATTTATGAATGGATCATTAAAGGTGTGCTTCAGAGCATACAGAGCATCCCTTTCCTCTTCGTACTGAGCAACGGATCCGTTGTACAATGAAAAAAGGGTGACAAGAAGAAGATATTTGGAAAACTGATGGAGCGATTCCATAACTCGGTTCTGAGAGAAAGTTGAGTTTGGTTCTGTTGTAATGAATTCCAACAGGTTGGGAATTAATGTATCTGCTTCTGCTTCTGCTTCATAAACATCAAAATGCCATTACGGTTATCACTATTCTTTGTTGAACAAGGCAAAAACAAGGGCACTGTCTTGGTATTTTCCTTTTGGACTTTATTGCTGAGAATCCCTATTAGGAGAATACTCCATTAATTATACCATTTGGAACAAACTGAGCTTCATTCTCGGATTTTCCGAGAGAACCAATCCTGCTTCTTGTGGGATATTCTCCATTTCTAATGTATAATATTTCCCCAACCTAGCTACTATGCCCTCCTTGTTGCTTCCACCTCATTACTATGGATGGCCACGCGTTGGGATGGATGAAATTTTGACGACCGACCCAGCCTGAAATGTATATTTTATCTATCTGAATTACATCCGATTTAAGTTCAGGAAAGTCATTCGATTCAAAAATTCTATTCGAATTTTAAATTGAAACACATATCTGATCTGACATGACACATAATAATTGTTTAATTTGATAGAATAAGAACTTAATTGAAAAAAATATAAAGAGAAATATTACAACAATTATCCCTTAATATAAAAGAAAATTTTATTATTATCTATAGTCGAGTAAAGTAAAAAAATTTATATTAAATCCAAACCCAGCCTAACCTAAACAGTTTTTTTTTAAAGAATTGATTCTATTATATCTTAATGAATCAAAATCGATCGAATTTGATCAAATTTTCATCATATTCCTTATCATATATCAATAAACTTTTACATATTTTATCTTAACTTAGGTGTAGAACATAGATGATACTTATATAAAAGCTTCACATTTTAGTATGTTTTCATAATGGTAAAATGGGTTGTGGGATTTATCTACATTGCATCTGATAAGATAACCCAACAAACAAAAGAGATTATAATTTGACACGTACAATACTTGAGAGCAGTAGGAGACAGAGAATAAAATAGATTTAATTTGGTTGCATCATTACTTGACAACAACGTTTAAGCTACAGTAATTTAACCTTTTTTTTCTTTTTACAAAAAGAGGTTAGGTTAAAGGAAATTTTCTTGTTAGAGAAGAATGAACCCACAATTTAAGAGAGAGAAAATATCAATTAAAAACTTTTAATCATCTATTTTATGTGTAGGTTGTTGACCACTTGAAATTTAATCTTAAAGTGCAAAGAAAATAATTATGGGGAAAAATTCAAATAATAAATTCATTAAAATATACTCATAATACCACAAAATATAGATCCTATTTTGTTTACGAATATGTTTAGCATCGTTTAAATACATTCAAAAAGAATATTATCACATGCAATAATTTTAAAAAGCATTTATTAGTTGATGGCAGAGCAAATTCTTCGAATTTCACCGTTACAGCCCGTCTTCGCACCAATATTACTCATCTTCACCATTGACCTTGCAAACTCCACGTTGAAGTTCAATGGCCGCTTGCCTCTCTCTCCCCCAAGAACCGCTGCACAAAAGTTCTGGTGGAGGCATCGGTCCACAATTTTTGATCGGACTCTAATATTCCTCGACCACTCCTCAAGTTGGCAAAGAACGACACGTCCAACCTGTTTCCGCTACCGATGTCCAAATCGACACGCCTTGAGTCGTCACCGTTTTGTGGGCAGAGTGCTTGTAACTGTGGCACAAATGCCGGGTTGATTGTAGGGTCCGGACCACCATTAGTGAAGTTGTATAATCTGTAGCTAAGTAACTGGCAAGCTGATGTCCCTATGGTATGTCCTCCTGCATCAGGTAAAGACATCAAAGGTTAAGTCAACAAGAAGAATGCATAATATGTCAAAAAAATATTTTTAACGTTTAATAAAATATTTGGTTGAATGAAATCGTTAATTGACTCATGGTCAATTCTTATCGATGATGTGATGAATTATTTGTGTCTAAAGTAATAATGTGACACATAATACATGTACATAATTAATGACATATCACATATCATGTCATTATTTTGAACACATAAAGACTTGTTACACCAAAAACAAATATTGATCATAAATTAATTAACATATATTATTTAATCAAGGATATTTTATCCCAAAATATTGAAAGTAATATTACTTTAAAAATAACACAAATCAAAATAATAATTAATTTCATCAAACGTTAGGGATAAATTTTGATATTATACCGATGAGATGATGAAACATAAATTGGAACAGCAAGGTACTGCATACCAACAAGGGCAACAAGGTCTTGAGTGTTGAGACCAAAGGCAGCAAACTTTTGGTTTTGAGAATCAAACAACAACAACAACAACAACAAAACCCAATTCCCATATGTATGGGGTAAGGGGGAGGTAGGGTAGTAGGCTGCCCCCAACGCCAGGTTGAGAATAGCTTCCGTGAAAGACCTCCGGCAGTCAGAAAATTAAAAATATAGATAAAATGCAATGCATGTATAAATAATTACATAAATACATAGCTAAACAGTATTCATATGCAGTCATTAATATCATATGTGCTTCTGTAATGGGGAGTAAATCCCTGCAAAATAATCCCTGCGAAAGAGTCTCTGCATATAGACAGAAACCTAAGACCCGGCTAAAATTAACATAGGAAACATGATGAGAATGATACACATGAGACAACGATAGCAAGCCCAGTTCTAATATTTCATAAATACCAATAACAGAAAAGTATAAAAAGTAAAAGTCAAGGAAATAACTACAAATGTATTTAAAAGAAGACAAAGATGATACACCCTATAGATGTGACCCACACTACTCGACTACCCTAGTCTTAAGCCTCCATAATTTCCTATCATAGGTCATGTCTTCGGTAAGGCCTAAATCCCTCAAATCAGATCTCAAGCAGTCATCCCACTTCCGCCTTGGTCGTCCTTTCCTTCTGGCACCGTCGACTGTAATCGACTCTACCCTCCTGACCGCATCCGACGGTAGTCGCCTAAGGACGTGTCCAAACCACCGTAGTCTTCCCTCCCTCATTTTTTCGGAAACAGACATCACCCCTAAGGACATCCTAATAGCAGAGTTTGTCGTCATATCCCACAGAGTCCTACCACATGTCCATCGAAGCATTCTCATTTCTGCGGCCTCTATCCTCCTAACGTGATCCTTCTTGGGTGCCCAACATTCTGATCCATACAACAGCGCTGGTCTTATTGCCATTCTATAAAATTTTCCCTTAAGTTTTAGAGGCACCTTCTTGTCACACAAAACTCCAGTAGCAGCCCTCCACTTTAGCCATCCCGCCTTTATACGGTGTGTAACGTCATCATCTACACCCCCATCTTTATGTATCATAGACCCTAAGTACTTGAAACAATCCTTTGAGGGAAGAACGTGTCCTTCGATGCATACTTCTACATTTTCATCATTTTGGTTCCCACTGAAGTTTGAACATAAATACTCTGTCTTTTCAATATTGATCCTTAAACCTTTTTCTTCCAAAGCAGTCTTCCAGGTAGCCAGTCTGCTATTCAACTCAGATTTTGTTTCAGCCACTAAGACAATGTCGTCAGCGAAAAGCATACACCAAGGTACACCGTCTGGTGTCGCACAATAGATGTCGTCCATAATCAAGGCGAAGATGTAAGGGCTAAGAGCCGACCCCTGGTGGAGTCCGATTTCCACCGGGAATGCCTCGGTGTCGCCAACTGTAGTCCTGACGTAAGTAGTAGATCTACAGTACATATCACGAATCGTCCGGATATAAGCAGTTGGTATCCGTCTCGTTTCCAAAGTCTTCCATATCGTATCGCGAGGAACGCTATCATAGGCCTTCTCAAGGTCAATGAACGCCATGTGGAGATCTCTAGACTTTTCCCTATATTTCTCCATAAGCCGTCGAAGTAGATGAATCGCCTCCGTGGTAGATCTGTTTGGCATAAAGCCAAATTGGTTTTCCGAAACCCTAGTGACTTGTCTCAACCTAGCCTCTATCACCCTTTCCCATAGCTTCATGGTATGGCTGAGTAGTTTAATACCTCTGTAGTTACCACAACGTTGGGGATCTCCTTTATTTTTATAAATTGGTATCACCGTAGACTCTCTCCACTCCTCTGGCATCTTGGCAGTCTCTAAAATAATATTAAAGATGTTGGTCAACCACTTAACTCCCTCCTCACCTAAGGCTAACCACACAGTGATAGGAATTTGATCAGGACCGACAGCTTTCTCCCTTCCCATCTTTCTAAGAGCCATTTTGACTTCCTCAAACCCAATCCTACTTGTAGGGCAGTCATTGGCCGTAGTATGATGGTCGGCTGACCCAACAACGTTATTATCTCTACATGGAGAGGCACCGTCATTAAATAAGCCAAAGAAGTAACTACCCCAAACCCTCTTAATATCCTGTTCTTTCGTTAAAAGAACACCATTGTTGTCCTTAATAAACCTAATGTTACCTAGATCTTTTTTCCTAGTCTCCCTAGATTTTGCAAGTCTGAATATGCCATTTTGTCCTTCCTTAGTGTCTAATCTCTTGTAAATTCAGGCAAATCGGAAGTATCCGATGCCAACGAAACCCTGCCATCTCTCCGTCCCGTGGGCACCGCCTAGTTTATTCCTCTCGTCCGCATTTTACATTACACCGTCACATAAATCAACAGTTTTCAGCTCCATATTCTACGATTAAGAAAACGTTGTTTACCAGAAAGACGGAGTCGCGAGTAGCGAGAGTTAGAATATCGGCGCATGAAACAACGCCGGGGCATGCAGCTTCAAGCTGAGTTTTGGCATCGTCGATAATCTCATAGCCTCTGAACGGAGGAGCGGTTTTCTCAGTATTAGGGCCATGGATGAGGATAGAGGCGTCACATCCTTGGACGAAGCAGTCATGGAAGTGCACCCTCAACAAACCGAGTGCAATGGCGGGATCGGAACGGAAATGGGATTGAACCGTAGACCTGACGATGGATTCAGTTCGAGGGCATGTTCTTGTATAGAACCCGACTTGAGTTCCCTGAGCAATGGCCAATGTAGCAGCCGTGGCA